ATTGCTTTTTTTTCCTTCTGTCTGTAAGAGTTTTTTTGGTTTGTTTGTTTTGTTTTGTTTTTGCCTTTTTTTAGTATTTTGCCTTTACACTTGAGTTCAGAAATGTGAGTCTCTGCCCTTTGAAGATTCACGTTTTTCTTTGGTTCAGGAAAGTCTTTTGCTTCTGTACTTCATGTTAGTATTACTTCTCCCTCCCACCCTCCCCCCATTTCATTTTGTCCTTCTGAAATTCCCACTTTATGGATTATAGCTCTTCTCCGTTCTCATATCCAGTTCCTTCTTTTTGTTTTGCATGGGTTAATCTTCTGAGGCACTGATGGACTTTTTAGGAGTGTCTTTTCTGCTATTTATACAGCCTTTGTGGAGTTTTTCCTTTCCAAATCAATCTAGGTCTCTGATTGATCTTTTCTCATAGCAGTATACTTACAGATGAATGAAGTCAAATCAAATTTTTTAAAAAAGTTCTGTTTTCTGAATGAATTCACTTGGGCCATTTGTTTGCCTTGCTCGGCTTTGCTCCCTTCTTCCATGCTCCTGATTCTTCATACACATCTAATAATTTTAATTGTCCATTCGTATACTTAAATAAACTCAACAGAAGGCATATTGGAATCCTTAGGGGAGTTTTTTCATAACATGCCATGGGCCCCACCTGAACCAGTGAATTCAGAATGTTCCATGTGGGGCAGCATTGGGGGTAGTAGTTGAGATCTTGGGCTGCAGAGTCAGATACAGATCTGTGCTCAACTCTTGGCTTTGCCTCTTGCTAACTTAACAGTTTCTGGTTTTCCTCAGCTCCTGAGGTTGTCCCTTGAGAACACATAGAGGTGGATAAGCAGCCATTGTGGAGAGGCCCTTTGACAAGCTGGCATAGAATGGTGTACCTTCTGAATCTTGGAGAGGCTCTGCCCATGACACTGACCCCTCTGGCCGAGTCCACTCCCATCCCCCCAGGCCCATGCCCACATTCCTGGTTCCTAAGGGAGAGCATCCACCATCTTTGCAATGTGGCATCAGTCTTTCTTCACAGTACAGCTGTTTCAGTATTTGAAATTTGTATGCCTGACACTTGCTCTGTCCACTGCTCATTTCCCAGCCCTCACTCTTCCCACCCCTCACTCTTCCCATCCCGTGATTTCTTCACGCTTCAGTTTGTCACTTAAATCATACATCATGATTATGGTCATACATAGCAGCTTGGGACTAAAGACTCTGCAGTTCTTCCAGGAAAAGCAGGTCCAACTGTTTATAATTGCTTTTTTAATTTTTACTAATGCATTTGATATATACTCCTCTACCTACCTCCCCCCAACCCCCCTAGGCAGAGTGAAGCATAAAGGAAGAGCAGACACCAGTTTGCCTCAAACTGAGAATATAACACAAACCGGTGGATAATAATGACCACCCACCTTGCAGCCTCTGTTGGCAGGGGGTGGGGACACACTTGGCAGGGTCACCTTTACTGTAACACCCCTCCCCCACTCCCTAGTGTCATAATGCTTCTTAAATTCTTAAAGATAAAGGAGCTTTTTCACCGCCCCCTCATCTCTCTGGCATTGGAATTCTTATCTTGGGATGCAGCCTAAGACCAAAAAGAGCTCATGTGGTTCCTGGTGGCTTCTAAACCTTCAGATGGAGGGTCTGTGGGAGCAATACATGGGGAAGGAGGCGTCTAAAAAAATAGTAATTAAAAGTAATAAATAAAAGAGCTTCTCCTTTGTAAAATAACTAGGGACTCTCAAACTGGGACAGTGAGACCAACTGCTGTGTTGGGTTGGGTGGGTTTCCTTGCCGACCTCCCCCTCCTTGGGCCCTTGGTTCATCAGATGGCCGCAACCTGTTTTCCCATTAAAGAGAACATTTATTCAAGTCATCAGCGGGTGATTTCTCTGACGGTTGTGATGAAGCGTGTTTTGAAAACCTTCCTCCAGTTGAGATTGTAGACTCCATCCATAGAAGGTTGGGAAATCGTGTGCTTTAAGCATACATTTCATTATAAGTAAGTAGTCTTTTAACACTAACAATTCAGCCCTACAGTACCCAATGATAGATCCTTCCACTCCTGTGACCCCACTCAGTGCCGCGTAATGTCCTTCAGGGGCATCCATGGTACTTCATAGGGTCAGATCCAAGTTCAGACCAAGGCCCACAAGCCCTGTGTGATCTCAGACTGCCTGCCCCCCATCGTTTGCAGCTTTTACCCTACCGGCCCCTTTTCTGTTTTTCCAAAGGCCAACCCCTGTCCTAGCTCAGCACCTCTAAGAATCTTGCTTACAATGTTTCCTTCCCCAGTGCCTTGTGTGCAGTTCCTTCTCCTCCATGGAGCCCAACTCAGAGGTCACCTCCTCAGAGAGTCTTCCTGGGCCGTTCCAGCTAAATTTGGCATCCCAACCCTAATCTCCACAGCTTTGCTTCCTCACGTCGTCCTGTTCGTTTCTTTCACAATACTTGTCTGTCTCCCCAATAGGACGTAAGTCCCATGGTAGCAGGGACCTTTTCTGTCTTAATAGCTGTGTCCCCAGCACCTAGAACAGTGCTTTATATATGATAGGTGCTCAGATATCTTTTTCATAAATGAATGAATGAACGATTGAAGGAACCCTCACAACATATTAGAAGATCTAATTTCTAAAAGATCTAGATATTTTATTTTCTAGATCTAGACATGATATTTTAATCCATTTGTGGATGAGGCTCAGAAGAGTTGAATAAATTATTCCAGCTTGTATGGAGCTGATGATTCAGACTCAGGTCTTATGAGTATTCTGATTCCGAAAACCAACTTAACGTACATAAAGCCAGCACCTCTGCTAGAAACGAGCTCCTGACTGCCAAGTTTGGGATTCTTTCCCCACAAGTTTTCCCACTGTAGTAGCTCGTGAACACACAAGTTTTCCCACTGTAGTAGCTCGTGAACACAAGGAGGACTGGGGAATTAGTCCTTTTTATACTTTTATAGCTAATTCTCTCCTAACCCAAGTGGTAGGTCTAAATTTGATACAGTGTTTATGTTGGGAGTATTCAAACCCAGAATAGGAGTCACACTGTGGCTGGTCTATTCTTGGTCTCATGTGAGTTTGTGGAGGAAAAGGCAAGTCACAATTCAAAAGAATTACTGCTGCTCTGAGGCCTGAAAGAAAGGATGTCCTGCAAGAGGAAATGGAGGGGGAGCAAAGGGAAGCATCCTTTCCCCAAGGTAGAGCTTTGAGCAGAAAGCCACAGAAATTCTCTCCTCACCCTATATGGCTCAGGACAGAGACCTGCAGGAAGGGTCTGGAGCTGAATGCCCTTCAAGGAAGAAACAGGACCAGGTAAGCCCTCTTCACTCAGCTTCCAGTCAGAAGTGGAAGGTGCCAAGGCAATGCTGGTCTCATAGCACCCTCTTGTGGGTGTGAGGTGTCACTACAGCTTCCTTCCAAAACCTGAGAGCAAAGGCTTGCATCTACATAATAGTTCCTAAGCACAGCCCTGTGATCACCTAGACCCACAGTGGGGGAAGCCCCTCCTGCAGTGTCCATGTCTCCTCTTTCCCGAGGCCAGAAGTCCACTCTCCAAGCTCAGAAAGGGAAACCCTTTCATTTGGTCCCTAGTGTTATAAGATGAAGTTGTGATATGGAACTCAAAGTCCATCTGGAGATCTGGGAGACTGAGAACACAACGGGATTTGTTCAAGGGCCCTCCAACAAACACTAGACCCCTGTAAGAAGCCTAGGAGGTCATCTTGCAGGGCGGGTCCGCAGACACTGACTCCGTGGTGCTCTGAGCCATTCACCTCCTTTCCTGTAACAGGTGTGCCAGCATTTATGTGGCCTTATGCTAAGTGCAGTTAACTAGACTGCAGCTTCTATCAGTGTCCTGCCTGTACAAATGTATGATATCAGACCTATTTCTGTCTTGCAGGCCTGTTATGAGGATGAAGAGTTTGTGAATAAATTACCTACCACAGTGCCTTGTATATTAGATATTCAACAAAAAGCAGCTACTTTTTTTTAAGTTCATTTATTTTTATTTTTTTATTTTTTAAATTTTTTTAACATTTATTTTTGAGACAGAGACAGAGTGTGAGTGGGGGAGGGGCAGAGAGAGAGGGAGACACAGAATCTGAGGCAGGCTCCAGCCTCCATGCTGTCAGCATAGAGCCCGACACGGGGCTCGAACCCACAAACCATGAGATCATGACCTGAGCTGAAGTTGGGCGCTTAACTGACTGAGCCACCCAGGCACCCCATAAGTTTATTTATTTTTGAAAGAGAGAGCAGAGAGAGGGAGAGAGAGAGAATCTCAAGCAGTCTCTGCACGGTCAGCGTGGAGCTCGATGTAGGGCTCGAACGCACAAACCGTGAGATCATGACATAAGCTGAGATCAAGAGTCAGATGCTTAACCGACTGAGCCACCCAGGTGTCCCAAAAGCAGCTGCTTTTTAAATGTTATTGTAATAGCTCTTTTGTTTTCTATCCACATTTGTCTTCCTGTTCCCTCCCAGCCCTCCCTCACACTCACACATGATGCTATTTATTCACTCATTATCACTCCTCTCTCAGCCTCATTTTCAATCCCTCCATTCTCCATCTCTCCATTCCTTTCAAAACTCTCTGAGGGAGCTCACAGACCTGGCTTCCCAGGAGCACATTTGCTGGCCATGAATAACTCTAGATTTTGTCCTACTGTCTCTGTGCCTTTTAATCCACAGTCTGTGGCTTCCCAGAAAATAGAAGCCACTGGGCCTGCCTGTCTGAGGGAGGGCAGGTCCAAAGAGTTACTCCTGTGGTGGTAAGTTCCCAGGGGCCTAAAGCATGGTGCAGCTTAACCGTGATAAACATTCAGCCAGGCATTCAGTGCTGCGGTGGGAGAAGTGGAGCAGAGATCTGAGCTGCCAGGGGCCAGGTGGAGCCAGGTGACGGTACGCAGAGCCTGTGCTGTGTGCGGGAATCTTGCCTCCCTGAGTTTGGAGAATGTCCCTGTAGGCAGCCGCTGACCGACTATTTCTTTCATGCTGCAGACTCACTCCGGATACTTCTCCAGCTTGTACCCCCCTCACCAGTTTGGGCCGTTCCCGCATCACCACTCCGTAAGTGCCCCTCGGTTCAGCCCGTCGGCCACTTTTCCCTCTCCTTTGGCGGGTACCACATAGGCTGTGGTGGACTGACCAGTGAACGTCCTGGCGTGAGTGCTGGGTCCTATGTGTCCAGGGCTTCTCGTGAGTGACACCAAACTACCCCAACAGTCAGCACTCCTGCCAATGCTTACAAATCCACAGGTGGCAGGAAATGGGTACATACGAATGATCAAGAGATAAAATTAGGAGATAGTATTTAGCAAAGAAGAGCATTTCTAAAGGTCTTTGAACAAATGGGGCCATGTCATTCCCACAGACCCCTATGGGGACGACCCTGGTCTCTTTGGGCTGTCACCATGTGGCATGGTCACGGCAGGTTTACTTATCTTCTTTCGAACCTGATGTCACTCTGGTGAAGATACCAGTCATGGCTACAAGGTGTGCAGAGTTGTTTCCTGTTCTTCTAACAAAGTGCCTCAGGACCCTGTCCTTAGGCCAGGTATATTTAATAACAGTATTGATTTCTTGGATAAAGACACAGGAGCGAGCAGTACCTATCACATTTGCATATGACAGAAAGCCTGTGAACAGACAGCTTTCTGAATCCAGCAAATTCAGAGCTGCTCAAGAGGAGTTCCCATTTCGATTGTCATGTAGTGCTCCCTGTGCCCAGGTTTGTTCCTTAGGCCTCACACCTGCAGCTCCTAAGCCGCAGGAGCATCCCATGCACCATTTTGACCATTTCCTTGGGTATTAGGGCTCCCACAGCACACAGCTCGTCGTAGATGCTAGGTACCTGCTGAGTGCCTGATGGAACAACCCAGTGGGAATGATGTCTTGTCTTGTGCTGCCCTTCCAGTACCCAGAGCAGGAGATTGTGAATCTCTTCATCCCGACCCAGGCTGTAGGTGCCATCATTGGGAAGAAGGGGGCGCACATTAAACAGCTGGCTCGATTCGCTGGGGCCTCCATCAAGGTAAAGCTGCTCTCCACAGCCACCTGTTTCCCGCCTTCTTCCATCACCACCTTCCCACCCCATGTGCCTTGTTCCTTCTGCTAGTCCTGAGCAACGCTGACTCCTTCTGGGGACAGACTCCCACAGGATCTGGCAAATTGGCCCCCAAGATTAATCCTATCTGCTCTCATCTTTACCTCTCTCATTCCTTTCTTGCTCAACTAACAACTGAATTAGAAAAATTTCTAGTAACAGACAAGCCAACCCAGTCCTGTTGGGGCTACCATAGTCGTCTTCTTAAGAAGATAAAGCAAAAAAAAAAAAAAAAAAAAAAAAAAAGGAAGGAAAAAAGGAAGGGAGGAAGGAAGGGAGGGAGGGAGGAAAGAAAAAGGCTGAGGGTTTTTTCCCCAACCTAAGGGAGCGGACTTCAGCAGAGCATCATTTTCACTTCGCTGTTATCAGTGCTTTGACGCTTTAATTAGTCTCTCTGCTTCACAAATTCTCAAGAAAGTAGTTTGGATGAAAAACTCTTTGAAAAGTGATAAAATTGTAGGTAAACAAAAGCTGGTATCACAGCCGGACAGGCAGTCCTGGGACTGCACAGAGCGGCTCAGGAAGGAAGGCCCCTTGATTTATGGAAATGGTGGTGAGTGTAGTTACAGACCCACATCCTGCCCCTTCGAGCGCCATGTGAAGAAGCGCCCGAGAAGCTGAAAGGGAAGGATTATTCGACCCTGGTCCTGCTCCAAGCCCAGCTATCGGCTCTGACTCACAGGCAGAATGCTGAGCACGTCCCAAGCCTCATGAAACTCTTTTGAAAACAGAGTTTCCGTTGTTACGTAAAATAATTTGCTACCATGGGACAACCCGGAATTCCGAGCGAGAAGTCTCATGACTTGGAGAGAAAGAATGCTTGCGCTTTCTCCACAAGAAGAGCTGGAATTTCTCCCACAGCAAGTGTGCTGGAGAAAAAGCAAAAACAAAACATTCTGAGTAGCACAGCACAAGAATTGCAGCGAGACCATCAAAGAGTATTATTTGGGCAAATCATTTCCCGTCTCAGGCCTCAGCTCTGTTACCTGCCAAGCGCAGAGTCTAGGTGGGAGCCCTGAGGTGCGGGCAGACTGCAGCGCAGCACATGGGGGGCCATGGCTTCTAACAGGCTTGTTGCAGCTAAGACCCCAGCCCACATGCCGGCAGCCGTGGCAGGACAGGTACAGCGTGGAGGACCACTGGGCCGGCTGCCCCCAAGGGCCTTTCCCTGTGTCCAGTCATGTGGCCTGAGATACCGTGCAGGAGACAGAAGGAGATGATTTCAACTCAAAGGGGCTCAAGGGATTATGACATGAAATCCTCTCTTTTTCCCTGGGAAAAGTGGGACTTAGAGAGGCCCAGGGACCAGGCCAAGGCACACAAGTGGCAGGACCGGCCCTGACCTCATCGGTTGTGCTGCCCTGTAGTGTGCTGAGCACCACTGGGACTGGCCGGAGCACTTGCTTCCCACTTACTGTTGCCCATGAGGAACAGGGCCCAGAGGGTTTCACTGAGTGTTGAAGGTCACGAAGGTAAAGAATACAAGAGCCGACATTTGACCAGGTGATCTGATCTCTGGTCCAGTGTTTTTTCCACCTCGGCAACCTGAGTGCTATACCAGAGTCACTCCCAGCTGGCCTTCGGGAAACTAAGAGAGAGGGCAATCCCTTGGGCTCCACCCCACGGCGTCCTCACCATCCTTCTATGTCCCAGCAAGGTTGAGCAGGGGTGTATCGCCTGACTCATGGCCTCTGATGGGCAGACACAGCAGGGCAGGACCAGGGGGAACAGAACGGGCTCTGCAGGCTGGCAGTACCCCATCATCCTTTATGCTGCACACAACATCCTGCTTCTCCAGCCGCTGCCTTCTTTCCCGATCCCTGCCTGTCTCCATAGCAGTAAAGGAGAGAAAACCACAGAAGCCAAGTATTGGTGAGAGAAGCTTTCTACTTTTAAAAATCAGACCTGGCTTTGTTATTTTCAACAGGACTGAAAGCATTTTCTCTAAAGCAAAATGGATAATCTCACTCTAAAGAACCCTCCATTCCTGCTTTGCCTGTCTTCAGAGACCACAGCTACAGGCACAGGGAGATGCTCCCAGGGCAGGGAGAGAGCTGTACACTTATATGTGGGAGCTGAGTGCTGGCAGGGGCTGGGTTGAGGTGAGGTCGGGAAGATAACACCCCAAGATGCCTTGGTTACAGACAACAGCTGGGCTCCCATCACTCTGCCCTACAGAGCATCCGGCAGGCTTCAGAATGCCACACAAATCTCCTGAGCCTTACTCCCGCCCCTGCTCACCCTGGGATCTCGGCAGTCACCTCCCCTCCGGGTCCTGTTTGTTTCAGTGATAAAACAGGGTTCTCCTTCCTGGTGCTCTCGAGGGAGTTTGCCGGTGGAATGTCATTCCAAAGCTGCAGGAGCACAGGAGTAGCTCTTGGACTGCTGGTCTTAGCTGGTGAATTTCAGACAGTTGTACTAACCTCACGCTTGACTCATTCCTAAATGGTGTACCCTTAACTCATTTTAAATTAACTTTAGTTTTGCTACACTGTTTTCATTTTCAAAGCTACCTTAATGATTTTCAGAATAAGGCAGGGTATGCAGAAAAGAATATAAAATGAGTCTAACAACAACAACAAAAAATCATGCTTGCTTGGTCTGTCATTGAGTTGTGTTACAAGAGAACTCAGAATCACAAATAGAGCAGATAGACTCACAAATAGAAGGCAGCATTGAGCTTGCCAGATTTCACCTCCAAATTTCACAGATGAGGACATGGAGGCCGGGGAGGGGAGGGATTTGCAGAGCAGACACTGGGACCAGGGTGACCTCATCCTTGCTCTGGTGCTGTCACCCTTGGTTCCTGTGCCGTGGAGGAGCTGGTCCTGGCCACTCATGCTCTAGCTCAACTCTCCCTTGCAGCCAGTTGCCTCTGTGAGCTGAGAACTAGAACCAGGGGCGCCTTTCCTGCAAGTTGGCTCCACAGTAGTGCCTCTGTGGACTTAGCCCTTACTCCCTCGGGGCCCTGGGTGGGCTGGTTGAGCCTACACCTCCTTCTTCCTCCTAGAGCTCTTGACTCCCTTGGCTCGGTAAAAGGAGGCCAGTCATTGCAGGTGCTCGGGGCAGGGACGGGCAGGAACTCCTTGCACTGCTTCCAAGTCTGCCTGGATGGTCAAAGACCCAAATTTGATACTGGGCACTATGGTGGTATCTTCCTAAGACCCAGAGTGAAAGCAGCAGTTGCAAAGGCAGAAACCACACCATAATCCCTTGCTAGTATGTGAGAGGGGACTGGGGACCACAGCCCGGCAGCAGCATTTTCCTCTTGCCTTGTAAACTGCAGATTGCCCCGGCGGAAGGCCCAGATGTCAGCGAAAGAATGGTCATCATCACCGGCCCACCTGAAGCCCAGTTCAAGGTCAGTGCCAGGGGCCACCTCAGCCCTGCAGTAGCTTAGGGCCTTTAGCAGGTGGCGGCCATCTCAGAGGCATGTTCAAGACTTCTTTGCGAGGCCCAGCCTCGATTTTTCTTCCTGCTGCTGCTCACTAGTCTCAGACTCATGCTGTCTTGCCTACCTCCAGGTTGTTCCCTGGAGCTCTGCTTCCTGGAGCACTCCTTCCCTTCTCTCTCATGGAAATGTAGATTGTCAGTGCCTAGTTCAAATGACACTCCTCTGGGCTATCTCTGACCCCTTAGCCACAGTTTTGAGGATAAGTATCTCAGACTCCTTTAGTATTTTATACCCTTCAAGCTGTGGGGGCATAACCATGGGGTGTAAGGGGAAAGAGCAGTAGCTTGTTGGGAGTTTGGTCGGATGCATTTTGTTTTTGCCCTTTTTTCTCCCCTGGGAAAATTATAAATTGAGTTTTCTAAAAGAAGCATATTTATAAAAGTATAGTCCTTATCATTAAAAATACTGAAAATTTGAGAAAACATTAACACATGTGAAAACATTTAAGAAGAATAGCCCTTCAGCTCATGAGTGGATAAACAAAATGTGATCTATGCACTCAGTAGAAAATTAGCCATAAAAAGGAGCAAAATTCTGATGCATGCTACAGCATGGATAAACCTAGAAAACACTGCATGAAGTAAAAGAAGACAGACACAAAAGGCCGCATATTATGAGAGTCCCTTTATACGAAATGTCCAGCAAAGGTAAATCCAGAGACAGAAAGTAGGGGCTGGGGAAGGGACAAATGGGGACTGCCTGCTAGGTATGGAGTTTTGCTCCGGGGGACTGGGATGGAGATGTCCTGAATAGTGGTACTGGCTGCTTAATGTAGTGAATACACAGAAAACTCCTGGACTGTATACTTCAAAATGATGAATTTTAGGCTGTAAGAATTATATCTCGATTGTTAAAGTTTTTTTGTTTTTTTGTCTTAAACCGTAATGTCTCAGCTTCCCTGGCTGGAGTTAAGACCTCAGAAAGCATCCCCAGTCACCACCTACCTCGCCTCCACCCTTTTGTAACCCGGGGTCTAAAAATACCATGATGGGAGGAAGTTAAGAGTCCCCCGGACAGGTTCATTCAGCCAGGTGTTCGTAGGTGCTGTGGATAAGGGAACTAAGACCTAGCTCTGCCCCATCACCACCACCCCCGGCCCCACACACAAGCTTCCAAGAGGCAGCGGTCAGGTACGTTCCTTGAGTGTGGCAGGAACAGCCAGGTCTCTGAAGGAGGGAAGCAGGGTACACAGCTCCCCCGTGGTGGCCCCAGTGAATTCGGGGCTGGGGGTGTGCAGGCCTGGGCTCCCCGGCCGGTTCTGGCAGCAGCACGGCGAAGCGGTCACGCCTTGCTCTCTCAGGCCCAGGGGCGGATCTTTGGGAAACTGAAGGAAGAAAACTTCTTTAACCCCAAAGAAGAGGTGAAGCTGGAAGCGCACATCAGAGTGCCCTCTTCTACAGCTGGCCGGGTGATCGGCAAGGGCGGCAAAACCGTAAGTTTGCTCTGAGCTGGCTTCATCTCCTGGGCCCATTCCCTGCCCCAGCCTGACCCGATTTCCTTGAGACCCCCACTGGCTCTGGAAGGACATTCTTCCAGAGCCGAGGGCCCCGAATCCGTGGTACTGGGCCAGGCCACCAAAAACACCAGGGTTCTGTGCCTAGAAATAGGACATCTCAGCTACATGCTGGTAAGTGAAGGTCCTCCCTGAAGAGGAGGAGGTTGCCTCCTGGCCCCTTTAAACCCACACAGAACAGCAGGAAAACACTAGGGAATAGAGCTCCACCCAGTGTATACCTACTTAGCAGACTGTCATCTTCTCTAAATTCACGTTCAGAGGCCTGCAGGGTCTGGTGTCCTACACTCTCCCCTCACTTTTCAAACTTTCCATCCTGCAGATTCTGTCTTCTGGCTCTTTCCCAAACCTGCCCACCTGTTACAAGGGAGCTAGGTTAGCAACCGCGTGGTGGGTAAAAAAGGAAATACTTTAAAACAAAAAACAAAAAGCAGTGAAGGTTTTCAACATGAAGGTGGCAGCAACACAAAGTAATTTGAAAAGTGCCAGAGGATCAATTCTGAAGCCTGTAGGAATGAGCAGATAGTTCTGTCAGACACAGAAGGGATCTAGAACATGACTTACGTGGTGGGGATATGACCCCGAGAGCCTATGTACACTAGCAAGGTGACAGTGTTGAGTGGCAGGAATTTGAGGGATCTCTAGAGTTGTATGTGTGTGCACGTGCACACACCTGCTATTTTCTTTACACAGAAATTCTTACTAAGGACTCAAAGTCAAGTTCTACATACAGTGAGTCACCTTTATACAAAAGAAGAAAGTTGAATGGTTTGCGGATTACTCCCCACAACCAGGAATGTGACCAGTATCAGAGGGCACACACCAGCTCTAGGCCGCTTGGGATGCCCTAGGCAAGAGAGAGCAAATGGCCCATGGGGGATTAGACTCCTGAGCCCTTTGATCTCCTATTTGGTCGTTTTAGAACCTGTCCGTGAATTCTGTTCATCAAGCCAACACTGCCCCCCAGAGACTGTGAGCTGTCCACCGGGCCTTGCAGACCCCACCTGTGTGTTCAGCACCCTGCCAGGGCCTGGGGTGAACCCCGGGCAGTGTTGGCTTGTTGAGGCTGGTGAGGAGGAGCACCGGCGTGCAGGGGGTGGGCTGCAGGTGAGGGAGAGCAGCATGGGCTGGCCACTTCCCACAGGTGACCGGCACGGAACTGGAGTGGCAGGGAGAAAAGGTAACAATCCAGCGGCTGAAGCAGCATAAGTAGGACTCGGAGGCAGGGATGAAAATGAAGAGCAGGCATCAGAGCAAGGTCTGATTAGAAAGGAAAGTTTACTTTGGTGATTTTCCTTCCTTGGTGCTGGGAGAGCCTGGGTCACTGCGAGCATGTGCAGGAACCACACCGCGGAGACTCCAGAATAAGAATTCAGCCCCAAAAGGAGCTCCAGGCAGTCGGAGGCTGGACCCTCCCTGGGCCTCCCATTGATCCCATGTGATCAGGGACTGGGAAGCCCCCGGACATGTTCTAGACTGAAGGAAAGGAGAATAGCCTCTAGCTGCCTTGCCCTCCAGCACGCCCCTCTCCCACTGCCTCCTGACCCTGCTTTTCTCCCTTCACAGGTGAACGAACTGCAGAACTTAACCAGTGCAGAAGTCATCGTGCCTCGTGACCAAACGCCGGATGAAAATGAGGAAGTGATCGTCAGAATTATCGGGCACTTCTTTGCTAGCCAGGTACCTGTGCTGTGAGGCCAGTCTCTCTTCAATTCTGAGCTACTGGTGGCCTGTTGGGTTGGCCGTGCCCTGCACACACACCCCATGACAGATGGAACCTCTACCTGGCTCTACAGGGCAGGGGAAATTGTTCCACATCTTCTCAGCCCTGCTCTCCCCCAGGCATGCTAGGGGAGCTTGAGGAAGAGGCTAGCACTTTGAAGTCAAGCCAAGCACATCTCAAGCCCCCTGAAATGCTAAAGCATAAGGTCTCCCCTTCCTCTGCCGTCTCCTCAGGCCTCAGTCACCACGTTTCCCTGGTGGGAACTACATACCAGGCAAGGACCCTGCCTCAGGGTGCCCCAGTCAGGCTTTGAGTGCCAGAATTCTACTGTTAAGAGTTAAACATGCTCATTGCTGGAGACCTTCATTTCTCTGCTGTCCTTCTCCATCTCACCATGACATGCCCCGTCAGAGCACAGGGCCACTTCTGTTTCATTCAGAAGGACCAGTGACTCGGCATCATGTACTCCTGGTTATTTTTGACGCCTTTATATACATACATTTATATACATACATATTATATACATAACATACATTTATTTATTGAGAGAGAGAGAATCCATGTGTGTGGGGGGAGGGGCAGAGAGAGGGAATCCCAAGCAGGCTCCACACCATTGGCGCAGAGCCCAACAAAGGGCTTGAACTCATGAACCAAGAGATCATGACCTGAGCTGAAAGTAAGAGTCGGATGCTTAATTGACTGAGCCACCCAGGCGCCCCTCTTTTTGATGCTTTTTGTTGTTTGGGTATGAGGATAGAGCAGTCCCAGTCCTTGCCCTAAACCAGTGAGGGCGGTCAAAGCTTACACTAAAGCCTTGTCTGAGCGCTCCACTTGCTCTCCCAAAGCCATGCCAGGGGACCTGTGTGGGCAAGGCACTTGCACACAGCTGCTCTCCCGTGCCCCTTCCTCCAGCCAGAGCCCCGGCCACACCTCCCTCTTCTGCCGTTGTGTCCCAGCTCCTCAGGTGCCCTGGGAATGTGTGTTAACTGCCAGGTTCTCACAGGCGTGCAGCCTCAGGGTTCTCCCTGCACTGGAGTACTAGGGTGGGGTGAGGGGTCAGGTTTGGGCTCACGTGTTTTCTCTAGTGCAGGATAGAGTGTCTGGGCCAGTTTCTCGCTTCTTCCTCGTCCCATTTCTTGTCCATCTTTCCCAGCATCACACTCGTGTTCTTCCTAGTGACTCCAGAAAGGTGGGGGTGGGGGGCAGGGAAGGGTTAAAGCTGCCATGTGTATAGTGGAAGGGGGATTGCTGTCTGACCTCCATGAGGCCCCCTCCTCACTGGTTCCCTGGCTCTGCTTGGCTTATCTGTCCATCAGCCACTTGGAAGCTTCTGGTCTCCCATCTCCTTATTCCACACCCAGTTGCCTTGAAGTAGGGGTGGGGGGAACCCTGCCGCTTTAGGCAGAAAAAGCCCCCGGAGTGAGGGCCTCAGCGGGTAGACAACAGTTTTCTGAGCTTCCCACTTCCTTTCCCCAAGTCCCAACCCCACCCTCCCACCCCCCGACCCCCACTGCTTGTCCTCAGAACCGGGTTCCTTTTTCTCCCCTGTCCCCTCCTCTCCCTTGCTGCAGACTGCACAGCGCAAGATCAGGGAAATTGTACAACAGGTGAAGCAGCAGGAGCAGAAATATCCTCAGGGAGTCGCCTCACAGCGCAGCAAGTGAGGCTCCCACAGGCACCAGCAAAACAACGGATGAATGTAGCCCTTCCAACACCTGACAGAATGAGACCAAACACAGCCAGCCAGCTCGGGAGCAAACCAAAGACCATCCTGAGGAATGAGAAGTCTGCGGAGGCACCGGGGACTCTGCAGAGGCCCTGAGAATCCCAGGGGCCAGGAGGATGGTGGGAGGTCAGACCGGGTCCCTGCCCGGCCTCCTGCCTCCCCCAGGGCCTCTGCAGGCTTCCCAGCCATCCACTGCACCATCCACTCGGATCTCTCCTTACCTCCTACAACGCTATCCCTTTTAGTTGAACTAACATAGGTGAACGTGTTCAAAGCAAAGCAAAATTCACACCCTTTTCTTTTTGTGGAAATTGTCTCTGTACATGTGTGTACATATTAGAAGGGAAAAGATGTTAAGATATGTGGCCTGTGGGTTACACAGGGTGCCTGCAGCGTTAATATATTTTAGAAATAATATATCAAATAACTCAACTAACTCCAAGTTTTAATCAATTATTAATTTTTTTTTCTTTTTAAAGAGAAAGCAGGCTTTTCTAGACTTTAAAGAATCAAGTCGTTCTTTGGGAGGTCTAATGGTTTAGTAAGGAGCTTCGAGACCACCCACACAAATTCACCCGAGGGGAATCTCGGAAGGACACTCACAGCAGTTCTGGACCACCTGTGTATGTCAACAGAAGGGATACCGTCTCTCTGAAGAGGAAACTCTGTCTCTCTTCATCCCTGTCTAGCTCACACACCCATTTCTCTTTGCTTCACAGGTTTTAAACTGGTTTTTTGCATACTGCTATATAATTCTCTGTCTCTCTCTGTTTATCTCTCCCCTACCTTCTCTCCCTCCCCTTCTTTTCCATCCCCATTCTTTTTAATTCCCTCATCCCTCTTTCTCAATTCCCAGTATCTACGCACCCCCCCAGGCAAAGCAGTGCTCTGAGTATCACATCACACAAAAGGAACAAAAGCGAAACACACAAACCAGCCTCAACTTACACTTGGTTACTCAAAAGAACAAGAGTCAATGGTACTTGTCCTAGCATTTTGGAAGAAGAAAACAGGAACCCATCAAACCAACCAACCAAACAAAGAAAAATTCCACAAAGAAAGAATGTATTTTGTCTTTTTACATTTTGGTGTATAAGCCATCAATATTCAGCGAAATGATTTCTTTCTTTAAAAAAAAAAAAAAATGGAGGAAAATAGCAATTTACACGAGGTCGTTGGCCCAGGGCGTTAAATTTACAGATTTTTTTAAACGAGAAAAACACACAAAAAAAGCTACCTCAGGTGTTTTTTACCTCAGCACCTTGCTCTTGTGTTTCCCTTAGAGATTTTGTAAAACTGATAGTTGGAGCATTTTTTTATTTTTTTAATAAAAATGAGTTGGAAAAAAAATAAGATATCAACTGCCAGCCTGGAGAAGGTGACAGTCCAAGTGTGCAACAGCTGTTCTGAATTGTCTTCCGCTAGCCAAGAACCTATATGGCCTTCTTTTGGACAAACCTTGAAAATGTTTATTAAAAAACAAAAAAACAAAAAAAAAAGATGACAAAGAAAAACAGAGAGAGAAAATATTGGAGATGTCCTGAATTTCAATAGGGTACGCGCCATTAGGGCTTTTTGCGCTAAAGGATGAACATGTACTGGTTTATGTGAACAAGCCATTTTACCACCAGACTGCAATGCCAGTTTCCTCTACTGCAAACAGTGTTCTGTGACAAAAACAAAAAACAAAAACAAACAAACAAAAAAAAAATGAAATATATCCAGCTAACAAGATCCTGGTGTCTTGGTCTCTTATTTTACTAAGCATTGCCTGTCCCAAAGTGTCAGCCGAATTCCAGCTCTGAAGGACTTAGGGGAATGGGCAGCCATACTGAGGAGGCAGGCTTCTCCAGGGCACTTTCTGGAAGAAGCTAAACTAAGTCAGTGGTGCTTAAAGTGTGGCCCCCAACTGGCAACATCAGTATCACCTGGGAACTTGCTGGAAATGCAGATTCTTGGGGTCCACCTTGAATCAGGAATTCGGAGGGGCCCCTCAGTCTGCTTCAGCAAGCCCTCTGGGTGATTCCTGTGTATGCTAGAGGTTGACAGCCATGGAACTGGAGGGACGGACTGGCTGCGTGTCAAGGTAGGTAAGGCCAGCCCCTAGCTTTAGGGAACTGTAAACCTGGCCAGCACGGAGTTGATTTTTATGTGGGGGAGTGCAAGAGCATAAAATGGCTGACAATTCAAGGGAAGAGGTAGTCATCCCTCCCCAGAAGCCTAAATTGTAAGTATTCCAGGAGATCAGACAGGCAGGGGTAACGTTGGATTGGAGGGCGGGGGGGGGGGGGGGGGGGCGCGGTACTGGACACATGAACGTGTTGTGAAAAGGTTGGAGGGAACGGCCCTGCTCCGTTTATGAGCCTTCGTTCCTAGACCTGTGGGGTCTACTAGAAATTGATGCTAGCAGTCCAAGCAATCTTAGGAATTGCGGTGAAACTTGACTGCCAGTGGGGGTCAGTCAGCCTTTTGGGGGTGATTGTTCAGGGCACAGCAAGGACAGCTGGAGGGGAGCTGATGGGACTGCAGAATAGCCACGTCCCCCTTGCAACAAACTTCGAGGGCTCTCGAATCACTTAAAATTTGTTCCTCACTGATGTCCTGTCCCCATTCCCCACTGTCTCAGAATTCCAATTTCTGTGATGCTGTTTGTACTTTTAAAGTTTCTGGCACAACGATGCCAGCTGATCCCCTCCCTGCTATGGCTGGCACGCATACAGGCAGGAACAGACTGTCCATTCCTGTGGCTCCACCATCCCTCCTCCTCCATTTCAGACTCCAGCCCATTGCCCTCTCAGAGGGAGAAATCAACCACAGGTTGACAGTGCGAGAGAAGCCACAGGGTTATTTCTGAAAGCTGTGCCCTGGGTTGAGGAGTCTTTCTTAGATGAACAGAGAAACAGCACGTTTAAAGGGCTTTAAATATAGGCCCATGGGCCTGGTAACCATTCCATCAAGATGAGAAATCAGGGTGAGAGAAGACACAGGAACCTCCAAAATGCACTCTTAGCTCTACTTCTCTGGTTGCATTCCTTGGCCTTTAAAATTGCAGGTGGCACAATCTGAGTTTTAACTCTAGTTCCTAAACTGCCCGTTTGCACAATCGTCCCTGAACACGTGAGAGAAAGGGAAAGGAGTCCTGAGGTGATGCCTGCCCTGCCCCGGTACAAAGCACCCGGAAGTTGTCCTGGGGTTACAGAAATGAAGCAGAGGTCACATGGAGAGGCAGAAGACCGGAAGGAGACAGCTGGCCTGGTTCCTAAGCAAAAACGTTCTCCCCACCACCCATTTTCTGAGAACCCCAGTGCTGGATGAAATGCTATATCCCACCTTCCTGTAAATAACAGCTTTGCGGGTATGTACTGGACCCTGATGAAGTAAATGCTCGCCAAATGGGCGTGAGCTCAGACTGTTGCAAACTTTGTATCCATTTCTTTGAATCCCAGACTTCCTGTCTTGACAAGACGTCCTGACATCCCAGAAAGTCCTAATTGCATGATTTTATGCAAAATAAAGGACAGTTGTTAAATGGAGACTTAGTCAATAACAGAGGGGTTTGTTCATTAGCCTGCACTCGAAAAGCACTCCCCCCACTCCATTACCTTGAATTGAACCTCTTTAAAACCCATGACCCATAGTGGTTTTGAAGGTACTAGCATCTCCCTAGACTGGGTGAGTAGCCTTGAACATCCCTTCTGCCCTGGTTACATTTCCCTCTAACTAGGCTTCTAGGTGTTCTTGTTTCCTCCAGCATGGAGCTCTGGAAAAGGATGACAGAGATTGGTTGCAAATTAGCAGAGGGGTCCGGCATGGAGGGGGAGCTTAAAAACAGGAAAAGAAGAACCCAGAGAAAAGTTTGGAGGGGTTTTGACAAGGAATCAAAGGAAGTGATTAGCCTAGGACAGAAGGAAGGCATCCTGACAAGACACGAGGTGAGGAGGGGAGAAAACACGGACTTCTAAGGGAATAACCTGGCACCAAGTGAGGATGTGAGTGACTCAGTGACTCAGCAGACTGGTGGGATGAGGACGTGAAGAGTATGAAAAAGAATCGGGCCTCATCTTACTCCTACACCTCTGGGGAAAGATGCAGGCAACAGCGGTGGGCCCAGGCTAGCAATTAATGAAAGAAGCCCACAGTGTATATTTTGAGAGACTAGCCTAGCCTGGTGTACGCGCATTCAGATCTCTGTCTTAAAGGCTCCGGAGGTTTCTTTGGCCTGCTAAGCACACGCGTCTAGTAATACTATTAGCATATCCCCCAGTCAGTTGTCACTGCTGCCTTTTATTTCCTTTCTACATTCCCCTTAAGGTGCTGCTGAATCGGAATTTAAAACTTTCCCCATATGCAGGTTAATTTTCTATTCTAGCTCCCATCAGCCACAGAGTCACTGTCTTTCTAGAAGCCGGGATTGCTCTTAATAACTCTTCCTCTCTCAGAAACAGCAGGCAAGAGCAGGATACCTCGTAGAACAAAATTATATTCTACCTTGATCTCAGTACACTCTGTAGTCTTTTGTAAAAGCAGTGATTCAGTGATACATCCCCAGGCACTTGGTTTGTTTCCATTTTAGGGCACTGCCTCTCATCTGAGATACAGCTGACCATAAAGTGACGAATATATTCATTTGTCCCCAATAACCTCTAGTGATCAAACTATGAATGAAAAACTAAACAGTCTGATCCCTATCAGTTTATCTGTAATTTCAACAGTTTCCGATATGAAAGATTCAGTGACTTCTATGACTCATGAATGTCCCTGCTTCTCCCATAGTTATGAAACTGCTTCCAGTCACCCTCTGTGAAGTCAGTAAAACCTATCCTTTAACCCTGGATTCACAGAACAGTAGTCATGGCAAAGGATCTTAGAGATCACTCAGTCCTCTTGACTAATGTAGAACATGAGTCATAGAAAATCCTCAAATCTCTCTAATAGCTGAAGGCACCAAGGGGGAGAGGGCGGCAGGCAGGTCTGCCCTTGCTCGGCCCCTCACAGCTCTTCCTTCCACGATCAGAAATCTCTCCCAGGGACCACCCACACACAGTGCCTGCTCTGCCTTCCTGAAAACAACCTTCCTACTGTCTGCAGACAACTGCCTGGTCCTCCCTTCTCCCAGCTCCTCCAGGCCTCATCTCTAGGACTTGCTTTCTCTCAGCTCTTCAACACCATCTTGTGGAGAAATACAGCCGGCCCCTGCATCATCCACCTTCAAGTGCCACAGAACTGGTGGTAGGCATGGGAGGCCTTGCTCAAGAAACAGCAAGAGGCTGTGGAGGGAGCAGGACAGGGCAGAGCTCAGCGTCACCAAGGGCTGTCCTGAAGGGGGGGGGGGGGGACTGGGACTCTCCTACCATAGCTCCCTTTACTGGGGTCTCACTGCTTCATCAGAGAAAGCTCAGGCCCAGAAATTTTCTCCCTGCTTGCCTGTACTCTAGCGATATAACCTTGGAGACCTGTCTCCTTATATATAAAATAAAAGTTTAGGGGCACCTGGGTGGCTCAGTTGGTTAAGTATCCAACTCTTGGTTTCAGCTCAGAGGTCATGATCTTATGGTTCATGGGTTGAGCCCTGTGTTGGGCTCTGTGGTGCCAGTGTGGACCCTGCTTCAGATTCTCTCTCTCTCCTGCTCTCTGTCCCTCACCCTCTTACACACACACTCTCTCTCCGTCTCTCAAAATAAATAAACTTTAAAAGTTTAAGCATAACAAAGTCCTTCCAAGTAAAAGATGGCTTCTGGTGGGGAGCCTGGGTGCCTGAGTCAGTCAAGCATCCAACTTCGGCCCAGGTCATGATCTCACCGTGAGTTTGAGCTCTGCATCAGGCTCGGCTGACAGTTCAGAGCCTGGAGCCTGCTTCGGATTTGGTGTCTCCCTCTCTCTCTCTGCTCTTCCCCATCACACTCTGTTTCTCTTTCTCTCTCTCAAAAATAAACATTAAAAAAAAAAAAAAAAAAAAAAGAGCCTTCTGGTTACCAG